CGATAAGTTCGCACAGGGAGATGCACAGCAGCAATGGCACAGGCGGTTGGTTGTACTGTCTGTGAGGAGGGTGAGAGGCTGACCAGTGTTGAAGACGACTTCGCCAGCTGTTGCTTGTTCTGCTCCAAATGCATATCCATCCTGGTAGTGACAGCAGCGGTGGCAGCGGTGGCAGCGGTGGTGTCAGTGGTCTTGACGCACGCAGGGGTTGAACCAGGCACAAGCAGGCAAATCGGCCTCTTGGTCAAGTCGATGGCAATGACAGCCAAACGCACACGAGGACAGTGCAAACTTACGAAGACGGTGCCATCTTCCAAGACGAGCTGGACTTGGGGACGCGGGCGGGCTGCAGAATGAAGCTGTGCTGTGCATCCCAGCAATCGCTGTTGCAGCGGGGTGAGCAGGCCTGCAATCAGTGAAGAAGGAAGGAAGGAAGGAGTGAGTGTGGATCAGTGGATCAGTGGATCAGTGGGAGGGAGAGTGCATGCGAGTGAGAGAGGCAGGGAGGGGGGAGTGTGATAGTGTTGGTGAGTGACTTGGGTGGTTGAGAGGGAGGGAGTGCGACAGCTTGGTGAGAAGATGTGGAGAGGAGATGCCAAGATGGATAGCAACAGAAGCACATCAACGCAGCCAGCGAGCACGCACGGCAGCCAGTGTGCAGGGTGCAGGGTGCAGCATGCAGCTTCCACGCACGTTGGCACGTCGCCATGCGTGCTACTGGCAGCAGTAGCATGTTGGTTGTCTCCGTGTCTCCTCTGTGGCCCGGGTCGACGGGGGCAAAACACACTCCACCAAAAAGAACGGAACAAAGAGAATAAATGGCGATCCGGCTGGGCACATGGCGACGTCACCGACCAGCCAGTGGATCTAGCGCAGTAGCTGCGGCTGCCTTGACTTAAGCAGCAACGAAACTCATCCAGCAAAACAGGCAGAACAACGCCGGACATTACGGTGCTCGCGTCATTTCAGTGGCGCGTCGTTTCGTTACCGTGTCCGCTGTAATTCGCCCGCTCACAGGTTGTGCGGGTGCGGATTGTTCACTACAGTTTGTGGTGTTGGTGATGCCCAGTTCATTCGCAACTTTTCCCCGAGGCCGTCGACAATTTGCAACGTGATACATTTGTGTGGGATTTCCCACGTGAAAAGTCGACGCTGGCGAGCCGCGTGTGTGGGGAGCTGCCTTTTTCTCCTTCCACCACCCAAGAAGACAAGACCACCACCACCACCTCATCTCCACCATGGTTGACAAGAAAGGTGAGCGCTCGCCCTTGCTGGCTCGGATGAGCGAGACATGTGGTGTGTGTGTGTATGTGTGTGTGGGGGGGGGGGGGGGATACATGGAGACGGACAGTCGAGGAGTTGGTGTGCTTGACGGTTGCCTGTCTTGGCGAACCACTGTGCTCTGGTGATCAATCGAGTGGCGTGTGTGTGTGCGTGAGCATGTGCATGTGTGTATGTACATGTGCAGGTGCATGTGCAGGTGCGTGTGCGTGGCAGTGATGAGGCAATGACGATGGTGATGATGGTGGTGGTGGTGGTGGTGAACGAGGATGGTAAAGACTTGCCGGGGACAAGCAGAGCCAACTCGCGTGTGTTCGCATATGCCCATGCACTGGGTCATAGAAACGCCAGCAGTTGCAGCATCAGCATCAGCTACATGAGCGGTGAATGGCAGTGGCAGACACGACCAGGGCAGTCAGTGATGCTCACGACGGCAGGAGAGCACGTGTAGTTGCTGTGCGTGCACATGCGCAGACCACCACGTTACCCGCACTGTTGCACAGTGCACACGCACACAAGCGTGTACAGCGCATCACGCGCATGCTCAACACATTTGAAGACGGCACTGTGTTGCTCACACTGTTGCTGTTTTCCGTCTGCCTGCGCACTGCTCTGTTGTCTTGTGCCTCTCCGCCGTCGTGCCGCCGTCCTTGCTGTATTTTCAACCACCCAACAGTGCAGGCAAAGGCCAAGGCCGCCGTGACCAAGGCCAAGACTGCCGCCAAGGCAGCTCTTGCTGGTGCCAACAACCGCCGTCAGCGCAAGATCCGCGTGCGCCCCACTTTCTACAGGTCTGCACACACACGTGAAAGATGCGAAGCCCGTGCATATGTTTGGTAGTGGCCGTGGCTGTGGATGCTGTTGTGTTGAGAACTGTCAGTCTGCGTGCAGATGCTTGTTTGTGGGCGTTTGCTTCGCTTTTGGTTGCAATGATGTGCGGCGCACATGTCATGGCACCTTGCTTTGTCGCAACATGCTCATGCTGTGACGGTTGTTGTTGTTGTTGCTTTTGTTCCAACACAGACCGAAGACCCAGATTCAGGCACGCAAGCCCCGGTACCCCCGCCGCTCTGTGCCCAAGAAGCAGTCTCTGGACAAGTTTGCCATTGTCCAGTACCCTCTCACCACCGGTTGGTTCACGTTGTGTGTGTGTGTGTAAGCAAGTGATTGTGGGGTGCTTATGTGATGCCGCACTGTCTTGTGCAGAGCTTCCAGTGACATTGTGCATACTCTTCTCACCTACCGCACATCCATGCACACACACAGAGTCTGCCATGAAGAAGATTGAGGACAACAACACGCTGGTCTTCATCGTGGACAAGCGCGCCAACAAGTTCCAGGTGCGCGCGTGTTCATTGACGCGTGCTGTTGCTGATCTTGGTGTTGACAGTGTTGCTTGCTGTTTTGTTTGTGTATGGGTGTGTATCGGCTGCTTTGACCACTGTCCTGTGCCGTGGCTCATGTCTTTGTGGGTTTGCTTGTGTTGACTTGGGGGACGCCATGCAGATTAAGGCCGCCGTCAAGGACCTGTACGACATTGACGTGGCAAAGGTCAACACCCTCATCCGCCCCGACGGTCATAAGAAGGCGTTTGTTCACCTTGCCCAGGACCACGATGCGCTTGAGGTCGCCAACAAGGTACAGGCATTCTGACACTGTTGTGGCTGGCTTGGTGATGTATCTCGCGTCTTGTGCTGTCTCGTGCATCTTTGTGCGGGTGTGAATGTGGTTTTTGGCGAGGATGTGCGTGCAAAGGGTTTATTTCTCGCTTGTCTGATTCCGTCTTGGAGTTGGACACACACACACACACACACACACACACACACACACACACACACACACACACACCTGCTTCCTTGGCACGCACTCACGCAATTGTTGCTTGCTTCTTTGTGCTGCTGTTGCTTGTAACAGATCGGCATCATCTAAAGAGACTGCTGCTTCCCTTTTTTCGATGCCTTTGTTGAGTGGTGTGTGTGTGGTGAGCTTGCGATGTCAGTATTGTTCTCCGTTGCAGTAAACGCCGAACTCTCTGACAATCATTTTTGTCCAACAACTTCTGTCGTCAACATGATGGGAGGGTTTACTGATGATGGAAGCGTCTTTCGCGTGTGCGCAGGCTGAGGCGGAAACAAGGGAATGCAATGCTACTGACAGAACCAAACACAAGAAGCAGGCAGCTATGGACAGATTGTGTTTGTGTGTTGAGGGACGGCCGGATACACTCGCACCACACATCAATCAAACCACTGTGACAGGGCAGAGCGGTCATCGGTTATGCGCGTGGAGAGGTGGCTGATGGTGGCGGCTCTTCGCGTTGCTGTGCGCGTGTGCGCTGGTGCATCTCTGCTTCGTGCACTTGGCGGTCGTAGAACCCGTTGTAGTTGAGGGTGAGCACAATCTTGGCCAAGTCCTGCTCGTTCTCCACAGCGGCAACCTCGGTCAAGTGCATGATCAGCGCACCCATCTGACGTATTGTGTTGTTCATGGTTGCAGGAGTGGTGGTGGCAGTAATAGCCGTGAGCACGCCAGCTGGTCAGGCACAATTGTGCAATGTATCCGCAACACATTTGTGGCAACAAGGCACACCTGCAAGCACATACCTGCTTGTAGAAGGTGGCTTCTGCTTTTGTTGTGCTCTGAAGAACCGTCTGTTGAGCAGAATGACGAAGGTACCAGAAGTTGCTGCACGTGAGTGACGAGAAGCAATGCCACATTTGCTGCAGGACCACACAACTCACAGCACACACACACACACACACACAACAACAACAACAACAACAACAACAACAACAACAACAACAACAACAACAACAACAACAACAACAGCAGCAGCAGCAGCAGCAGCAGAGGCTAAGCAATGGTCTGTGCCGACGCAGCAAATTCACGATGAACGGACCTCTCGGGACGACTGGTGTGCGCTCTCCACGGCCCTACTTCGCAGCTGCGTGTCCGCTGTTCGCACAAACCGCTGCAGGTGCAGTAATGCAGTGCACACACACACACACACACACACACACACACACACACACACACACACACACACACACACACACACACACACACACACACACACGTAGGTGGCATCAGGTGAGGTTGGCACGGTTGTGTGATTGATGGTGGGTCATTATCACTGTTTACACGTGTGTGTGTGTATGTGTGTGTGTGTGTATGTGTGTGTGTGTGTGTGTGTGTGTGCGCGCGTGCCAGGTTAAGGTGGACCACCCAACACCAAACTCACCTTCATGTACAGCGCAAACACTTTGGAGAGCCGCAGCAGCCCTGACACCGTCTGCTCGTCGTGGGAGCGGTTCATCATCCAAGCATGGGTGAATGGAGCACAAGGGGCCACGAGATGAACACAGACGGCAGCAGTGAGGAGCATACAATGGGTAGCTGCGCATTCAGGAAACACAAACACACACACACACACCTTGAGCAAGCGCTCGTTCGTGAGCATGCACTTGCGGAGGCAAGTGTCGAGGAAGTCGTTGTGTGCGGCTAAGAGATCGTCGATGGACTTTGCCTCTCGCACCGCGCGCTGCATCGCACTCCAATGCGGCTCAATCACCTGCACAGGTCGTGGTGTTGCGTGCGTGTTGTGTGTGAGTGTGTGGATGTGTGTACGTGTGTGTGTGTCCGCGTGTGTGTATGTGTGCGTGTAAAAGTACGAGTTTGGTCGACATGCAGTGCGTGGTTGCAGGCCCGTGTCCACGATGACGTCTCACCACAAAGACAACGTAGTGCTCGAGCGTCTGTACGAATGTCAGCATGCGCTGGCGCAGAGAGAAGGCGCGTTGCATCCTGCATGACGACAGAAAATCAAGAGTCCCCATGAATTGCAGGTGTGAGGCACGAGCAGGGCAGGGCAGGCGCTAGCTGCACTGGGGCGTGCGAAACAGGGAGGGAGTATGCAGCATGCTCGCGATGGCACACACACACACACACACACACGTATACACGCACAGACAGACAGGCAGACAGACAGACAGACACACACACACGTATACACGCACACACACACACACGTATACACGCACACACACACACGAAACAAAAGCATGGCCTGACCATGGGAGGTGGGAGCGCCGGACTGCGGCGCTGGCGACAACGGAGGTGACGAGATGCTGTTCAACGTCCTTCATCTCAAAGATGAACCGGAACAGAAACTGATACCGCCGCATCGCCTGCCCGTGTGTATTCATGAGGAGGTGAGTGAGAAGGGATTCCAAACAATGCACGTCAACACACAGAAACAGACACAGACACAGACACGGACACACACGTGTGCGCCAACGCACGTGGTGGTCGAGGATGAGGGAGATGGGCCAGTCGACGTTGTACTCGAGCGTGAAGAGGTCGAAACCGGTCATCTCTTTGCTGGGAAGTCCGTCAGGCAGCGGCAAATCCCGCGGCAAGTCAACAAACTCGCCCTAAACACCAGAATCAACAGGCAGCGGGGCGATGGGGGGCGATGAGGGTGGCGGAATGACAAGAAGGGGCAACAAAGTTGGGCGTGCTCGACAGGGAAAAATGGTCGAGTTGCAAAACTGCATGAAGCGAGGTACAGTCTCGAACAACGCGCGTTCGAGATGCACACACACACACGCACACGCCCGTGGCAGGAGCGGGCTCACGTCTGTCTGTGTTGCGTCGGCACTGCGCGAGATGCGGATGATATTGGTGAGCTCGTTGGCCACCCGCATACGGGCCAGCCCGCACCTGGCGATGTATGCATGTGTTGGCGGAGGGCGACAGGTCGTGAGAATATCGTTGTCGTGACATCTCATCAGGATGAGGATGGGACTGATGAGAAGGGGCGGGGGATGGTCATCGTCACGCACGCACACATGCACGCACAGAGGCACGTACATACACACACGCACACAGAGGCACAGCACAGACGCAAGCACGACTGCCGTTAGGGGAAGGACCTGAGGTCGTCCTTGAAAGGGTCTGAGGCAGCGGATGATGTGCGGAGAGCAAGTTCGAGCAGCGACGAGAGGCGATCGCTGTTCACGGCCTGATGCGGTGCACTCAGCTCCTCTGGGCACACCAACGGCAAGCAGAAGGGGGGGGGGGGTGACAGTGAGGGTAGTAGCGAGGAGGGGAGAGGTGTCCATTAGGAGACGTAAATAGATGGATACAGGTGGATGGACATGATGATCAGGCACTTGGTCATCACACACACACACACAAAGAAACAAACAAACAAACAAAGAAACAAACAAACAAACAACGCACACAAATAAACAAAGAAACAAACAAACAACGCACACAAATAAACAAACAAAGACACAAACAAATAAACACACACACACACACCTTCAGCGGTGTCGAGGAAATGGATGAAGAGGTCGCCCTGGCGCATGAAGAAGTAGTTTCTGACAGACGTGAGCCGCTGCATGAGCCGGTAGTCCCTGCGGAGTGCGAGCAGAAGCGCCTGGTTCGCTTCGTCGTGCGCCGTCTGCACAATGTCCCTGTACTCGTGCGGCTGCTGCACATACACCAATGGCCGCACGTGTGCCATTGGCGCTTGCCGCTCTGCAGTTCACGATGGTGAATGATGATGATGGTGGTGGTGATGATCGTCGTGGTGGTGGTAGTGTTGGCGAGGGAAGAGTGAGATGGACGCTGCATTGGGAAGGCACAGCGTGTGATTTAGTTGGGTTTGTATGGGTTTCTGCCGATGCGTTGCGTGTGTTTGTGTATGCGTGTTGTGAGGTTCTCACGCCCTCCCGGCCCTCGGTGATGGATGTGATACCGCATTGGGCGAGGACGCGGAGGTACCGGCCCGTCTCCAGGATCAGGTCGGCAACCTGCAGGCAGACGCACGCCATGGATCAAGGGGTGGTGTGTAGCAGCACAAGCGTGGGTGAACACAGTGACAGCACACAAAGCACGCGACGCGCACACGTGTGCATGCTGATCTTGATGTACACAGGGATACAGACACACACACACGAACAGACAGACAGGCAGACATCGATACACACACACACACGCACACACACACACACACACACACACACACACACACATCAGATCCCACGCACGTCTTCGAGGAAGGATGGGATGTTGTCTGGGACGAGTTCACACTGCATGGTGAGGGGCTCGTTGGCGGCCGGGGAGATGGCGGTACGATGGCGCACCATAAACTCCGACGCAGGATCCGTGAGCAGGCCATCATAGATCCACGTGCCAACCATGTCCAGATACGGCCGGCTCGCCTGGTTGTACGTGTGCGTGCGTGTGCGTGTGTGTGTGTGTGTGTGTGTGAGTGAGAGAGAGAGAGAGAGAGTGTGTGTGTGTGTGTGTGTGTGTGTGTGTGTGTGAGGGAGGACATGTGTTGCGCTTATATTTGCACCAATCACACAGCAGCAGACGCCACAAAACCGTTTGCACACATGTCGACGCGGTCATGAAGTTGTTACCTTGGCAGCGAGGGAGCAGCAGAGGGCGTGAAGCTTTGCCTGGCCAATGGTGTCCTGTGTCGCCTGATGCAATATGGAGAGGGTTTGCGCGCCGCGGCAGTCGTGCTGTCGACACCAAAGATTGGGGGGGGGGAAGGGAAGGACATGAATCATATCATGGTGAGCGGGCCCATACCTCTGACGTGCACAACACAAGCGCTTCAAGAAGCACGAAGCAAGAAGCAAGAAGCAAGAAGCAAGAGGGAATAAACAAAAAGCAAGAAGCAAGAAAACAACCATAAACGCACACACACACACACACACACACACACACACGCACGCAAAGCAAGTACGCTTTGTCTCTGTGCACCTGAAGGAGCTGCAAGCAAATGGATGATAGCTTTTCCATGACAAAATGTGTTGGTTGCAGGCAAAACTGCAGCTTTTGCAGCGTAAGGTTCCCCTGTGTTGCAGTCGGGGTGCATCACAGCAGAAGTACCCAGCGGTGAGCGTGTGTGCATGCACGTGAAGCATTTTGGCTTGGATAAGAAGCACAGCACGTACACACACGCGCACGCATGTGCATGCATATGCACACACATACATGCGCACCATGCAAACACGCACACACAAAATACACAAAGACACAGAGTCACAAACAGACGCACAGACACAGACACACACACACACACACATGCGCGAACCGAGTAGAGCTGGTGCTCGAGCTGTGCAATGAGGAGGTAGTAGTCCTTGGTGATATCACGCAGCCCCTCCGCCAGCGCCTGGTTCACGCGACTTTCACCAGGCGTCTCAGCGGCTGAGGAGGTGATGGTGGCGGGTAGACAACAGGCAGAAGCCCCGCGGAGCAGTGAATACAAAGCGCGGTGTACTTAAGGAACATGTGGTTCTTTCACTTGTAACCACGCAAACAGCACTTGCACTGGCAACACAGGAACAGTACTTGCAATACATGAATACGCACACACACACAACACGCACACACGTGTACGCACATGCGCATACACACAACACGCACCTGCGATGAAGCGGGAGACTGTGGCAAAGTCGGCGCAGCACGGCAGGATGCGTTCGACCATCCGCTTCAGCTGGGGATCTGAAGAGCACACACACACACACACACACACACACAAATGCGTTTACAGTACACACACACGCGCGCAAGCAGTGAGTGATCGCTCATGGAGACACGAGTATCAAGGTGCGACTGCATGCAAGTTGACATCTCACCTAGGCCGGGTGGAGGGATCAACTTGATGGCACGTGTGGTTTCATCGCGCCGCGCCGCAATGTAGGTTCCGGTGACGTTCTGCCACAAAGCAAGCACGAGCACAGGCATGTGTGTGTATGTGTGTGTTTGTGTGTGGGAGGAGACAGAGGGAGGCACACACAAAGCATCAAAGCATGGCACTGCGAGGAGCGTCACGCGCACCAGGAGCACGAAGAGAAGGTCGTTGAGGATGGCTTGCTCCTGCATATCCTGTGGCAACTGGGACAAGTTGACAACCCCAGAGTTGTCCTGTGTGTGTGTGTGTGTGTGTGTGTGTGTGTGTGTGTGTGTGTGTGTGTGTGTGTGTGTGTGTGTGTGTGTGTGTGTGTGTGTGTGTGGTGTGTATGAGACAGTGTGTACGTATGTATGCATGTAAGTGCGAGACACAGTGTGCGTGAATTCGAGTGTGCTCTGATTTCCCTTCCCTTAACACTCCACAGTCCACTGAGTATCCTTGCGCCCCCTCCCCCACAACGCACAGTGTCCACGCTGTACCTTTGTTACTGCTGCGCCGATCCGCCTGCCGACAACAGTGGATCCTTGTTGTGCTCGCTGCGCCTGCTGCCGCACAGGCAGCGCACTGCTCACGCTGCTCATCTTCCACAACAGTCGTTGTGTTTCGTTTCAACGGCCGTGTAATTTACGACAGCATAAAAAGCAGCCGCATTCGCACAAGCGACAAGAGCCAACCAACAACGACGACGATGAGCGACAAGGTGCGTGTTCCATGCCATGCTCTGCACAGCCTTCGCCGTGCTCTGCGTTGCCTGTGCTTCCCTCTCCTTCCCGGTCTCTGACCTCCTTTCCACTCTTCCGCTTTGCTCCGGACATGGGTGTTTGTACCCCCCCCCCCTTCTCACAAATCATGGCTTTTAATGATGTCATCTTGCGTGCGTCGCATGTACTGTTGGCTGTTGTGGTTCATGTTCCATGTTCCATGTGCCATGTTCCATGTGCCATGTTCCATGTTCCATGTTCCATGTTCCATGTGCTGTTCCGACGTGACAGGCGCAAGAGATCCGGCTGCCATCACCAAAGGCCTCCAAGTCGAAGTCGAGGCGAGCGCCCATGCGCATTTCAAAACCATCCACTCAGCGCCCACCATCCCCGGAGACCATCCCCATCCCGCTTCCTGCAGTCTCCTCGCCTCGCCAATCCAAGCGACAGCAACACCAACAAGAGCCATGCAGCAGCGCTGACGATGGCGACGCAAACGCTAACGGCAGCAACAGTGGTGACACATCTCCAGAGGACGGCCTGTCGCCGCCAAGACAACGTCATAAGGACCAGCAGCCACAGCACAAAGACAACACAGCGCCGGCGACAGAAAAAGCGCAGGGGCCACAGGAAACGCAAGCAGCAACAGCCTCCCCAACACGCTCTCCCGGGCGCAAGAAGCGATCTGCTGCAGGCCGCAAAGGAAAGACGGCCAAGGCAAGACAAATCACAAAGCCAAGGCAGCCAACCTCAATAGCTGCACCCGGCCGGGATGCCCAAAGAGCTCAAGCGTCGACGGCCAGCGCAAGCACAGCACCGTTGAGTGAGCACCACGCATCATCCACATCAGCGTCGTCGGCATCGCCAACATCAGCGCCATCAGCGCCAAGCACCGCCGTGTCAACGGCCGGTACAGCTGCCGTTGCCGAGGGCCAGGGATCGGGCCAGGTGCGCCAGTCATTGCCGGATCGATCCGCAGCATTGGGGACGACAGCCAATGCTGTGACAGAAGCGTTAGAGCCAGGCGTGGTGGCTGCTCAGCAGGGCGGCGCTGCTATGACGCATCGGCCACACACAACACCGCACCCGGCCAAGCGGGCCCGTAAGCGCTCGAAGCCATCCCGCCCCGATGAGGGAACAGCAATGACCATGCAGCACTTTTGTCACTACAACCCGCGCAACCCAATCAGCGAGCCAGAGTGAGTTCTTTGTGTGTGTGTGTGTGTGTGTGTGTGTGTGTGTGTGTGTGTGTGTGTGTGTGTGTGTGTGTGTGTGTGTGTGTGTGTGTGTGTGTGCGTGTGTGCCTGTGCGTGTGTCAACTTAATTGTTTTGTGTGAGATGTGTGCGTTGATGTGTTTCTCACTGCTATCTCTCCCTCTTCTCGCTCACATGATTCATGTTACGTTTACGATCGTTCCCGTCACAGCCGCAAGACGAAGAAAGCCAAAAAGAAGAAAGGTGTGTGTGTGTGTGTGTGTGTGTGTGTGTGTGTGTGTGTGTGTGTGTGTGTGTGTGTGTGTGTTCGTGTTTGGAGGCAGCGTTGGCGTGCCTTTGTGTTTTCAGCAATCCATGGTGTGCAAGCACTCACCACGATTGATGCGTGATGTGTTGTGATGTGATGTAATATGTGTAATATGCGTGTGTGTGCGTGCGTGCGTGTGTGTGTGTGTGTATGTGTGCGTGTGTGTGTGTGTATGTGTGGTGCAGGTGGGAGCGGGAGTGAGGATGGCAGCAAATCGCCGCAGGAGCAAGAGGCGAGCCAGGAGCAGGAACAGCAACCGACGGTGCAGAAGGTCGGTTGTCATCAAACGTCAAACAGAGTCACCCGCACCTGCACGTCGTTGCGTCGTCTTCTCTCGGCTTTTCTGTCCCCTCAACCCAACCTCATCGTGCACCCCCCCCCCCCACATATTGTTGCACACACACACACACACACACACACACACACACACACACACATACACACACACACACACACACACACACACACACACACACACACACACACACACACACACACACACACACACACACACGTGTCCGTGTGGTTGTCTGTGGTCATCCGTGGCTGTGTCCTCGCTACGTGGTGTACGTGCTAATCACCCGAATCATCGTCATGAACATCATCCCCGCAATCGTCATGATCATCGTAACCATCCTAATCATCGCAGGTTGGCCCGCGCCTGCGCGTCATTGACGACGAGATCCATGTTGAATCGGCCTCGCTCGAGCTCAGCACCCAACCGCAGTCCCTTACACACGCGTGAGTATGACGCACTGCACCTGTGTGTGTGTGTGTGTGTGTGTGTGTGTGTGTGTGTGTGTGCGTGCGTGTGCGTGCGTGTGTGTGGTCATATCTGTGTATCTGCCTGTTCTTCTCACCTCAGACCACATTCGTGTTGTGTGAAAACGTCAGCGAAAAGCGCGATCCTGACAGGCATGTCACGTCGTCCTCATACTCCAAGCGGACAAAGGGCATCATATGGACACCCGAAGGTGCGCTGTGTATTCACATTTACATGTGCGTGAGAATGTCCGATCGTTTGCAGACAGCAGCGATCTCTTGGCGCATGCTTCCATCGAGGTTACTCATCCTCTCCAGCATCACCACGTCTTCCGCTTCCGCCTTGTCCCGCGTCTCACCCTGCCATCTGCCCCTCCCCCTCCTTCTGTTTGATCTAATAGAGACTGCGCGCTTCTATCGTGCGCTGTCGTGTTGCGGCACCGACTTTTCCCTCATGCAGCAGCTCTTCCCCCGCAGGACACTGCGCCAGCTCAAGGTACCGCAGATGGTGTATGTGTGTGTGTGTGTGTGCGTGCGTGAGTGCGTGCGTGCGTGTGTGTGTGTGCGTGTGTGTGTGTGTGCGTGCGTGTGTGTGTGTGTATGTTGCGAACCCTACTTCCTCCACGTTCTCACACGTTGCGACCCTTCAACCCTGCGCCTGTCGCGCATGCTCAGCTCAAGTACATGAAGGAGGATCGCCGGAACAAGGCGCAGGTGTCGGCTGCCCTGAAGCAGCGCACGCCGCTGACGCACGAGCTACTGCAACAGCTCACGCCAAAGGCCGTGGACATGGATGCAAGCAAGGGCAAGGGCAAGGGCAAGAAGAAGAGTAGTAAGCAGAAGCCGCCGACGAGCGTGCAGGAGATTGTGGCGCGCAACGAAGAAAACGCTGCGACAACAGCGCCGACAACAGCTGCGTCAGCAACAACGTCAACAGCTGCACCAACAACGTCAACAGCTGCAACAGGCAATGGCGAGGGTGCCAGCAGTTCATCGCATTCAACAACAACAACAGCTACAACAACAACAACAGCTACAACAACAACAGACATAACGACACAGCCAACACCAGCATGACACTCTTGTGCAATCGAGCTGTGTGTGTGATGGCTGGATTAGGAGAACGATGACTCCCGCTACTATTATAGGTTTTGATTTGCTCCCTTTGTCGTCGTTGTTGCTTGTGCCTGCGCCATGATGTGACAAGGACATGATGCGTCTTCTGCACCTGTCATGTGCCCCTGCGTGGGTCATGTCCCTGCATGCGTTGACATGGCATGTCTCTTTGCTGTTTGTGTGTCGTGTTGTATGTAAACTTGCCGTACGCAAAGCTACGCAACTCTTTTCCCAAACTCATAAACAAGAACATCCCCAGCTGTCATGTGACATGAGACACCCTCGCTTCGTCTGTCTTTCATATCTCGCCCCCCTCCAAAACACACACAGCCACATCGACACCCCCCCCCCCCGGTTAACGCGCCCCTAATCGCTCATTCGCTTATGCTATGCTGCCGTTGCTGATGTGTATGGTGGATGTGTTTTATACACCGTTGGCTCGTCGTCAGCCCCCACCAACAACAAACAGTGCGTGCAGCAACAACGTCCATCGCCACCACACGACACATGCGAATCGACCGAACACAGAAGCAGCAGGCAAGGCAGGCACAAACATAGCGATGCAAACACAAACACAAGGACCACTCGATTAATCGGAGAGCCACAGCGCCACAGCCATGTCAGCTCCACCTGGCCAGTGCATGTACATCGTGGCCAAACTGGAGAGAAAGGGGTTGCGACGCAGCTATGCTTCTCGTTTTAACACTGATGCGGCAGTTGCGTTTACTTGCCCTGCTTCTTGGCGCGTGCCTTCCGTGCCGTCTGCTGGCGAGCGGCCTGGCGCTGGACCTTAGACTGGTTCTTCAGCTCAAGGATGCGCTCCTTGCTGAGACCCTGTATTTGATTGGTGATCGCAGCGGTGTGAGACTCGCAGCTGAGAGGAGTGTGGAGTGTGGGCGAAGTGACTGGCACAACGTATGCGCTCTTCGGGTAAGCGCACGCACACACGCACACAAGTACACACACAGACTAACAAATGTGCACACGTACATGGACTCACGAATATGCACATACACACACATAAACGTATGCACACATTTTCTCCCCCCCCCCCCTTCTCCCTCTGAACTCGAGCTGCAACATGGCAATGCTCGATTCCAGTGACAAAATCAAAACCACGTGCGCGCACAACACAACAACAACGCATGACTTGCCTCAATGGAGCGGGTGAACTTCTGAGTGCGGCGGGTGCGGCGCTTGGTTGTGGTGGTGGCAATACCCTTCTTGTGCTTACGGCGGTACAGCACCTACACACGATGAACGGATGCAACACGAAACGGATGTGGTGGAATGAGACAAAAAAGAAAGAACGCAAGCACGCCAAGGAGAGGGAAGAGGGACACCACATCCAGCATGTGTGTTGTGTGTGTGATCCAGGTGTTCTAGCAACCCCAGAGGAGTGCTTATTGCCTCACTCAAAAGACGAGCAAGCAGGACAAGAAAGAGCGAATGAACGCCAACTTACGGTCCAGGCAATCTTGCGGGGGTTCTTGCGCTGGTAGAAGAGTGACTCAACCTTGGAGCCGAGGAAGAAGAAGGTCTTGCCTGTTGTGTTTGTTGGTAGTCAGAGCAAGAAAGGTGTGTTGACAAACGATGGAGTTGGCGGATGGCACAGACAGTGTGGATGAATGCCTGCATAAATGTTTGTTGGAAGCACACACGGCGCTGCGCCCAATCCATCGACACCCCACAAACACCAGCACACGCGCGTTTCCAAACGCACCATCGGCCTTGACCAGGGTACGGCCGTGGCCAGGGTGGATCTTGTACCCGGAGAAGCTGCACAGCTCAAGCCTGTGACCATGGTTGTTGGTGATGATGATGATGATGACACGGCAACAGTGAGTGTGAGTGCAAGGTGATGACTGGAAGTGGTACAGGGCTTGTTATTCTGCTGTTGG